CCCCCCTATTTATAGCCCCCACGTCTCCGAATCGATAGCCTAGATCAAAGCAGATCCAACGGCTCGCAGGCGCACTGACCGCACACCTTCTGAAAACTGAAGGTGATTGGCGGCATGTCTCCCGCGATTAAGGCAATAAAGGCTGCACGACGCTCGAAATTAAGAGCCACTTCAACATATTTTGGGAATTCAAAAAGTCAGAAAAGTCAAGAAATCTCTCGATTCCAACGAATGCATTTAATGTGAGTAGTCAATCAAGTTTGAATTTCGGTCAAATTAGTCTATCACACTTCATGAACTCCTCGCACTAAGGCAATGCTCTCAGCTCAAGGAGTGGGGGCCAATTGATGGAGGACGATTTGACCCGACCTATGAAACAATGACACGTGGACGCTGACTCAGCATTGTAGCCTAGTGCGACCAAGTGACGGGCCCATAAAGCAGCTCGCTACATCGTAGCTCACAAAAGGAGAAGCTCGCCACAACGCGAGCTCCGGGTTCCCCGAGCTACCTTTGAAGGGATACTCCGAGGCAACTTTAGCTCGCGAGCTAGGGGAACTAACTTGCCCGAGCTCCCAAGCAGACAAGTCATTCCAAGGACCAATTCTGTTAAAGGTAATCCTGAAGTATTCCGAGCTTGCCACATAGTAGCTCGGGAATGAGCCGCATGGGCACTCCTCAAGAAGATTCTACCAGATAGGAACACACCAATTTGCCTATAGATACCCCGAGGTGAAGACACCTCGGGCTAGACAGCTCGGCTTAGCTTGCCACAGGTAGCTCGTCGCTTACAAGATAGCCCGGCACAGGGTAACTCGCGGAAGGGTAGCTCGGCATATCGCAGACGGATCTCTTGCCCGACCACCGTACCCGACAAATCTGGGGACAACAGCCATATCCCTCGTCAAACAGCGTCGTGCCTGCCACCTTTAGAGGGTGCCTTACACCCTGAGAGGCACGTACCCTGCGGTGACGGCCCCGCGTGTGCTACCTCAGCCCAGCCAGTAATGGCTGCGGCGGGTTGATAGTGGCGGTTATACCTGCCCTGTCAGAGGCCAGTGGACCTGATACAACGAATTTCTGTTATAAGGAGCTAGTATCAAGGAACGGAGGTATGATCTTCTACTCTCGCGCTATCTGCACTCTTAGCCTTCATCTTCTCCTTGCTTCTCCTACAGAATACTAACTTAAGCGTCGGAGTGTTCCTGCCGGGCAACCCCCCGGGGACTCCTCTTCTTCTCCATCTCAGGTACCTTCCAAGAGCCACGTAAATGCCAAATAAGAGTGACCGGATTGCACACCATCAGGTTCTTTCTTCTAGATACTTGGTAGTTGACAGAGAGGTATTGAGAAACTTTCTAGGTTCTGCCTAGATTTGATATTTTGGTTGTTTAAATTCTGGGTTTTTTTTTTCTTGCTAGATTAACTTAATAATGGTAGTTTCAAGGAACTCTGGGTGTGGGAATACGTCATCCAGAAACCAAACCAAAAGGAAGTAGGATGAAATTTGTCAAGGGTAGAGAGGGAGAAGGACGGTTCGGTTTTAGTTGGTACTTGGTAACAAAAATATTTACTTTTTGAGTCCACCTGAATGAACGGATGTTAATAGAGTTTGTTAATTTTTGAATTGATGAACATATATACACATGGGCAATTTTCGTGAAAGTGGTGTTGCTCGAGTGAGGGCAATTTTGGAAATTAAAAAATGATGCCCAAATGATTAATTAGGGGTAATTTTATAAATTTATACATTTTCCGTTTGGATTAGTGATGGAAGAGAGGTTTTTGTTAAATAAAAAAATTCAGGTAGATATTTATAAAAAATAAAACTAAAGGATAGCTTTTTATGATAATCAAAAATTTCAGAGAAGGTTTTATATTTTATTAGGGGTGTTCACGGTTCGGTTAACCGAACCATGGACCTTTTTTTATAAACTGAACCGGTGGTACCGGTTTTCAATTTTGTCAAACCAAAATCGAATTAGTACCACCGGTTTCGATTTTTGATTGGTTCGGCTCTTCAATTTTTCAGTTTTTTATATTTATAATATATATTACATAAATATATATATAATATTATATTATAAATAATAAATGATATACAATATATTATAAATATTTAAAAATATATAATATATAATATATTTATAAATATATCATTATAAATATAATATAAGTATATATTTATATATAATGAATATATATTTATATAAAATGCATAGAAAATATGTGACATATATTGAAAATATATATAAAATATACATATAAATATATATACTGGTCAATTCAGTTAACTGTCGGTTTTTTTAGTTAACCAAAAACCAAACTGGTCCTTCAATTTTTTAAGAATTCCGAACTAAAACCGAACCAATCGGTTCAGTTAATTGAATTTTGTGATTCGATTTTCTCGATTCAGTTCGGTTTTTCGATTTTTTATAAACACCCCTATATTTTACCCTTGTAAGTTATTTATTACCATCAATGGATTAAACAAGCTATTATCATTTATCACATCATTTGAATGGATGAATTAGAGATGATGATGGGCTGGCCTAGGTTGAACTTATTAGGGAATATAGCCTAGTAGGAATGGATCTTGATTTTTTTATGGAATTTTCAGTTTCACGAATCTTGATTTGCGAAGATAGAGGATATAATTTGACTTATTACTAAGTTCAAATTTGTATTTGTGCTGAATTTGCATGTAAATAAATTGAACATTTTAATTTAAATTTAAGATTGCATTTGTTTGCAGTGTAAATGTGTATATATATATATATATATATATATATACAAAATTACTAAGTTCAATTGTGCTAACATTCGAAAAGAAACATTTGTGTATTAAAAAATAACAGTTATTACAACTTCTAAGAAATATTTGCATTCAAAACGATACAATTTTGCACTTAGGTTGCATTTGTGTTTGGGTAAATGTATTTGTTCGGACAAGTGTTTATTATGAAACACTTATTCAGATAAAAGCATTTATTGTTGTTCTTTTATTATCTAGGTAAAGGTGTACAGTGACTGATTTATTCCAAAAACTGACATTAGAAGGAATAATATCCTTCCATCACCTATTAACAATTTTTAGCATGCATGGACAAGTAATTTATCCAAGTTTGAGTGGAATATTACTTCCCCAGGTAAATGAATCACTCGGGAAATGTTCTTTTCAACAGAACTTACTAATACCGAAAAATGTATGCAGATTTATTTCTTTTGTGTGAGACCTACCAACTTATCCTTCCCTATTTCTTGGAAAACCAAGGTTTTAAAAACGAACTAGACAACAAACTGTTCAGGGGTCCTGGTTCCTGGGTTGAACGGTCCAACTGTTTGAACCGAACAAATGGCCTGTTTTGACAAAAAATAAAAAATGGCCAAAAACCGTTGGATGGTTCGAACGGTTTGACTACCTGAGTCAGTGGTTTATTGACCAAATCAATGGTTTTTGGTCAAAAGACAGTTCTAAGGTAAAACAGAACTGGTTAAGTGACTGCTTCCCGATTTTTCTGGTCCAACCATCCGGTCCGATCCAATTTTGAAAACGTTGCGAAAAACGAATGAGGCTACAATATAATTTGTGTTTTACTCATCAAAATCAAAAGCCCTTTAACTTCAAAGTAAAGCTAAACCAAGATTGCATTTTTCATGAACCTACATATTTATCGAACATATTTGTATTTACAATACAAATGCACCCTAAAGATGAGTCTCCCCACCATCCTATGCTTTGAATGCTTAGACCTTTGGTCAGTCCCAAATCGGCCAACATTAAACCTCTAGTGCTTAGGGATGATCATTTTCTAGCTGACTCGCATGCTCAACACAGCCCAGCCTACAAATATACGGGCTTAGTCTTGGATTTTGTGTTCAGGCCTTAGGCCCACAAATTTCCGGGCCGGGCCTGGGCCCTACAGAACCTCTGTGTTGAAAAACCCATGAACGGTTCTTTTTTATTGGAAAGATGAACGATTCTTACCATACCTCTTACGGGGGGGTTCAGGACTGAGACCTGTTCCCATAAACGTCCTGCAGCACATCCCAATCGTATATTGACAACATCTTCTAAGAAAAATGCTCTCAATACACGCTGAGATGTGCATGTGGGACGTTTTTGGGGCGCGTTCTGTTGGAGAGATGCGAACTCAATTTACATTACGTCATACGTTAGAAAAGAATTTCAATACAACTTGAACTCGTTAGAAAACACCAAAGAGATAGTGGAAGTGGACTGTGGACCCATCCGTCGGATCATGTCCATTGTCACGCTGATTTTTCTTTCTACTTTTCCTCAAATAAGGTAATAGCGGGCCCCATCCCCAATGTTTGGTTCTGATCGGCTGATCCACTCATCATCAACGCTTGGCAAAGTATTGGGCCCCAGACCTACGAGTCTTGTTCTAGTCTCCGACTCTCTGTAGCTCTGCCTTCCAGGAAAGAAACTGCTCTCAAAGTCTCAACGGAACAAACCAGCCGGTAACTTGAATCCGAAGTCCTAACTTCCAAAGCTTCGTAAATCGTAACAGCAACGCCTTCCCAATTTCCCATGGAGGGAGTACGTGTGTGTCTAAAGACTTGCCACGTGTCTACTGCGAACAACTTGCACGCCTTCCCATGAAAACTTGGGTGACGTGTAAGCAAATGGACAGCAAATCACTATTTGTGTACCGCGAGACTATTTAAACGGGTGGTTTCATGTTCTTGTCCAACACTCTAAGCAACCAAATCTTATCCGTTTTCAACGGCCGGATTTATAAACTAAAATGTCAACAGATATGGACAAAATGGACCACCGAGGCACACTTGGTCAATGAGTTGATTGGACGGTCTAGATTTGATGACCCAATAATAATAGTATAAGAACGGTAGTATCAGATGATATGATATTTCACCAAATAATTATATAATAATAATAGAATAAAAAGCATTTATTTCTGTTTTAATATAAAAGCAAATTATTTAACATTTTCGGTTTTTCTTTTTCTGTATATAGCAGTGGTCTGTACTTCTGATATCTTTCCTCTCTCTCAGATTCTTAACTGTGAATCGTTCTGAAGGGTCTTCTTCTTCTTCTTCCAGTTCTTTTTTTTTGTTTTTCTTGTTTTGGGTTAATCTATTGTTTGCTGAACCATTTGTTCTGGCAGGTTTAAGGCAGATGAATCCATAGAAAAGTAGTCTCTATATTTCAACTTGAATTCGTCGACATCTCTGATTATAATTGAAGCAGAGTTTCAGAACCTATCTCTGAATCGGTGAGTTTTACTACTTCTTCCAATCTAAAATTCGTTTTTTTTAATCTGCTTCATGCTTAATTTATTATGGTATCTACTGTTTTAGTTTTATTTTCATATTTTGGTACCTACTGTTTCTACCTTTTCTTCACAGTTCTTAGTATTTGGGGTAGATTAAGGATTGAAATTTTCTACCGTAGAGAATGAAATAATCGATCACCAAAAACGAACTGCTTGCTGCTTGGTAATTATGGTAGATAAATCTCTAGATGTTGAGCTCCACTCGCTGTGAGACCGAGATGATGTTGCAACGAGATGACCCAGAGAGTTATAGAGTTAAAGTTTCATATACTGGAGTTTGTTCTATCTAAAGCTAGGATATTTAATTCTAAAGGAGCATTGATTGTTGTAACTTCGTGATTTGAGGTAGCTTCTTTTCTCTATAGAAAGTTAGTTTTTGGGTGCCTGCACTGCCAAATTGATCAAAATATGACCCAAAAGTGGATAAGTGGTTCTGAAGAGGCAAAAATTAGTATTAGCAACCTCTGTGTTGATAAACACATATAGGAAATCAGACATTTTCTCTGGTTTCTGCTTTGATCAGTAAATTCTCCAGATAAGAAAAGCTAAAAAGTACTTGTTTAGTTTTTTCAAATTCAATTCCAAGGTTTATTGTTTCTCTCAAATAAATGAGAGTGGACAACATTCAAAGTTAGTTTTTTTCTTGGTGCCTCATGATATTTCCTGAAGCTTTGTTAGTGATATTCAGATTAGTTACATTGTTTGTTATGCTATTCCAGTAGGACAAATGGCTGGACAAATTGGTACCACTAAACCAGCAGTCTCTTTTGAGTATGAGCTTCTTGAGGAAGACACTGAACAAGTCAGAACTGTTGTAGCTACACCAAATCAGATTAGCCCATTGATTGACCCTGCAGCATTGAAACTAAAGCACAGGATTGGGCGAGGACCCTTTGGTGATGTTTGGTTAGCAACTCATCACCAGTCCACTGAAGAATATGACGAGTATCATGAAGTGGCTGTCAAAATGTTGCATCCAATCAAGGAGGATCACATGCAGGAATTTTTGAATAAATTTGAAGATTTGTTTTTTAGGTGCCAAGCATTAAAGGGTGTTTGTTGGCTTCATGGTATCTCTATTAAATGTGGAAGAGTAAGTGTTTTCTTTTAAATTGGTAATTTTCATTCATAAAAAAAAAATGGTAATTTTCGTGGGCCTACTTGCTGATAGAATTACATGATTGCTTTGTTTATAATATCTTGACAGATTTGCATTGCTATTAAGTTCTATGAGGGATCAGTTGGAGATAAAATGGCTCGTCTAAAAGGAAACAAGCTTCCTTTGCCTGATGTTTTGAGGTGATGTAGTGAATTGGACTCTGAGATACATGGAGGATATGGTCTTTTTCTTTTCCAATTCTTTTTCTGGACTTCCAAATTCCAACATATAAAATTGTTACTTATGGAAGGCCAGGTATACAGTCCTCAAATTATGCTAATGTCCACAGGTATGGGATTGAATTGGCTCAGGGAATTATGGAACTGCACTCGAAGGGAATCCTCGTTTTGAACCTGAAGCCTTGCAACTTCCTCCTTAATGAGCATGACCAAGCTGTTTTGGGAGATTTTGGGATTCCTTTTCTACTTCTTGGAATTCCATTACCCAGTTCAGATATGGTTCTCAGATTTGGAACTCCAAATTATATGGCTCCTGAGCAATGGCAACCAGAAGTAAGAGGCCCAATATCCTTTGAAGCCGATTCATGGGGGTTTGGATGCAGCATCCTGGAGATGTTAACTGGGACTCAACCCTGGTTTGGGAGATCAATAGATGAGATTTATCACTTAGTTGTAACAAAGCAAGAGAAACCGCATATTCCTACTGGTTTGCCTCCTGCAGTTGAGAATGTTATTAGTGGTTGCTTTGAGTATGACTTTCGAAGTCGGCCTTTGATGTCAGACATTTTACATGCGTTTAAAAGGTAGCTTTTAATTTTGTCATTCTATATTATAAATGATTCATGGTAAATTTATATTTTAAGGAAAGACACCCTGATACTGACACCACATGAAATATGCTAAAGGTTTTCCAGTTTTGAATCTACGCTACCTACGTCCCGGTAATAGTCATGTTAAACACTCAGTAGTAGGTGCCTTTTTGAAAGAGGAAAGGTAATGGACAGAAGTTGTTAATCAGATCTTGAATAGGATAAGTACTAGGGGAAAGGAAAAATGGATTCAATCAATGTTTTCAATCCACTATTCATCAAAAAATGTTTTCAATCCACTGTTAACCCAGAAGATCTGACAGGTTAACATGCTACCTGATGACAATTCTGGTTTGGTCCAACCTATAACCTGCTTAGTCAATGAACCATTGACATGGAAACTTGAATCGTTGACCCATTTAGTGGGTTACCGTTTTTATAATGATGATAATCATCTAAGTGTTTTCCCAACTGTATGGGGTTGGTTACTTTATATGATACTTTATCTCTTTTAATTTTACATTGTTTTATGAGATCATGAGTTCATCTATCGGCCCAAATGGTGGAACCACTGATCCATTGACCTGGAGGTAAAAGTGGTTCAGCCTCAGGGGTTGGGTTCTAGACAATGGATTCACTTGGTATAATGTGTGTGACATAGTCAGTGTGCTGGTAGTCTTCATGTAGCTGATCCCATATAGTTGGGACAAGGCTTGGATGATGATGATGAGTGTGTTGATAGGCAACCTAAGGAGAACATGCATTTCAGATTCTATAACTTCCATTTCTTTGTTGCTCCATATAGTCTTTCCTTCTTGTCTTCTTCACTACATATACAAGCTCCAATTGTTGCTAATTATGATGTCTTGATTTTCATTTAATTGGTTAACCTTGACAAAACTCTGCATCTTATTCTGGAGTTTCTCTTCAGTTACATGTTTATTTTTGTGCATGCACATTGGGGGGGTTTCTAAAAATAGGACCACCTTCTGAAAATGATTCTTCTTCATCTTGATTTAATCCCTTTTAACAGTGGGCAGTCCTTTTTTTTGTTGATATTCTGTTATTTCCTTCATGTTCTTCTCAAGTTAGAAGTTTTTTCTTTTTTATTTTTTATTTTTGATCAGTAATCAATATTCAATTCATTAAATTACTGAAGTTCCAGCATTACAAGTTGTATTCAAGGCCTTTGATAGTGGAGGTAACTACCTCTGTACAATAAAACTGCTATGAGAATAGATACTTTTTCCTGAAAGGAGAGATAGCCATGCGGCTTACAAAGAAGCTCTTTAGTCTGAGGGCTATAATTTAAAATATTGAAGTAACAGAAACATTTAGGGTGATTTAAGAACTTGGCTAGCATGAAAATTGCTGTAATATTCACATATTATGGTCCTATAGTATTCCTAGTTTTAGCATTGAGAATAGAGGCCCCCAATTTTTTTAAACACCCTCCTGCTCCACGTATTTCAATCAGGCCATCTTCTCATGGCAGTTATCGTCATATTTGATACTTTATTTTCACTAACTTTGTTATTTTTTCTTCTTTAGGCTCCCTTCTTCTCCTGTTTGCTTTTCATTTTACTGTATATTCCTAACTGATATATTAGAAGTTAGGAATGTTGCTGGACATACATGCAAAGCCCCCTACCTGTGCTTGCCCGGCACACACAAGTAGAACCCACTCATTGCAGGCCCACTGTTAGTAATATTTCATCCATTATGCGTGTATTTATTTTACATAGTAACTTGTGATCAAATCTGCAGCTCTCAGAGTGCAGTCTACACCGATGGCAGCTGGATTGGTCTTGGAAACAGGACACTGACAGATAAAACAGTTGTTAATGGTTGCACTGAGTGGTTCCTCTCAAAGGATCATCTCCAAGTAGGTGATACAGTGCGTTCCAGGAAGTCCTCAAACTCATGCAAACACGAAAGCATGCATATTCCAGAAGGAACAGTAGTTGGTTTGGAAACCGATACCGACAAAGATGGATTCATTTTGGTGAGAGTGCATGGAATCCATGATCCTCTGAGAGTTCACACATCAACAGTGGAGCGGGTCACCTCTGGCTTGGCAGCAGGGGACTGGGTAAGGGTGAAGGAGGAAGACAAGAAGCACTCACCTGTGGGCATTCTTCACTCCATCCAGCGAGATGGCAGTGTAGCAGTTGGCTTTATTGGACTAGAAACTCTTTTGAAGGGAAGGTTTTCAGAGCTTCAGATGGCTGAATCATACTGCGTGGGACAATTTGTGAGGCTCAAGGCAAGTGTGTTCAGCCCCAGGTTTGAGTGGCCTCGCAAAAGGGGAGGGGAATGGGCCACTGGGAGGATTTCACGGGTTCTACCAAATGGATGCCTTGTAGTTGGCTTTCCAGGCAGACTGGTGTTCAACAATTCGTGCAACAGCTTCTTAGCAGACCCAGCACAGGTGGAAGTGGTGTCTTTCGAAACAAGCCCTGGGGTGGTAAAGAAGTATCAACACCTTGAGGACTTTCACTGGGCTGTTAGGCCACTTGTAATTGCACTAGGTCTGTTTACAGCCATGAAACTAGGCTTCTTTGTTGGCAAGAGCTTGGGGAGAGGCAGGGGGAAGAAGGGTCGGGGGACTTTGATACAAGGTGATGGCCAACATTTGGATGGCCAGACAGGGGGCAACACTGCATGGATTCCTTCTTCAGTGGCAAATATGCTTTTCAGGGAAGGAGTTGCTACGACTGCTAGGTAGTCCAGTATTTCCTCGGGTCCTGGTTTGCAAATTTGCTGAGGCGCTCAGAGAATTGATCCAGTGAACAAGTTTGCTATTTCAAGGCCTATGTACAATTTTACTGTATATGTGGTAGGAAGCTGGAACACTGATAGAGTGGCTACCCACCTTTAAGTACAAAAGTATGGTTATTTGTACATAAATCTAAAGACAGGTGATTATACATGGTTATTTACAGACTGGTGCTATAACTTGTATGTGGTTGCTGTATATTCTTTCTCTGAAGGATCTGCACACCCTTGTAACAAAGAAACTAATCAATTTCTATGAACAAGTTGTGGTTGAAGGTTGACGGCAGATTCTATAGGTGATCTCTCTCTCTTTCTCTCTCTCTCTGTCTCTCTCTCTCTCTCCATCATCAGAGTAGTTTAGTCATTGGTGGTAAGCAAAAGGTGTTATATGTATGGTAAACGGTCTTAAATTGATGGCCTGAAAGACCCATTTTATTGTGTTCTTCAATAAGCTTTTAGATTTAAATGGATAAGCGTATATCATACAATCAGAGCAGTAGCTTTCTGAACAATTGCGTGTCTTTGGTATTTATCAGACCCCAAAATTTATGCAACGCTGGGCATCAAAGCTAGTTGGTTGCTTTTTTGACATCTCTGAATTTACATGGTTTCAAGGTGTGTTTGGTTTGATGGCCTTTATGGGAAGAAATGCATATCAAGCGCCCCCAAATTTGCTGTGATCTCATCTATATAGTACATCTTTTAAATCATCCCTCAAAGCACTGCTCTTGGAGAGAGAAGATATACAGGGATGAAATTATGGACTTCCTCAAATATTTTGTGATACGCCATATCACATTTGTAAATAGAAGTCTGAATGATCTAGCTGATAGGCTAGCTTATAAAGTCTGTAAGGAGGGAATGGATTTGCAATATCAATTACCTTCTCAAGGTTTGGATGTAAATATTTTCAGAAATATCCTTCAATGAAGTTTTCTTTGGTTTATTTTTGCTTACAAAAGAAAAAAAAAAAAAAAAGAAAGAAAAGTCCTTAAGGCTGTGCTTGGTTTGAAGGAAAAAGGTAGGGAAAGGAAGGGACACCTGTACAAACCTTGTATAAAGTTTCCCTACTTATTCCTTTCTTTGTCTTTTCTTTCAAACCAAACACAGCCTAAGTGTGAGGCTGCCAAGATTGGCACCCCACAGAGCATGCCCCAGGTGTGCTCCACAGCACATCCCGACCATATATCAAGAACATCTGTCCATAACAAGTATGTGAGATGTTTCCAATGCACGTTGAAATGTGCATGTGGGGTGCGTTCTGTGGACTCCGGATCTACTGCCCATGTCTATTCACAACACACTACCCTCATGAATTGGGAACATCTCCCCCTACAATAACACTATGTAGGAGGATGAGATGTTCTCCTTGTGTGGCTGCAATGTTTAATATCCTACTTTCAGTTTTGTTAAAATTATTTTATCAAAATGAAGTTCTAAGTTGTTACTATAATTGTTTCAGTTCTGGGTATCTTTTATATATATATATATATATATATATATATATATATACACACACACACGAAAGGGGTGGTCTCCCATTTCGCCAAATGGCAGTAATTAGTGATTATAATTACTGATTATTACAGTAATTTAATAAATACTGTTATTAAATATATAATTAGTGATTATATACTCCCCTTTTAATTACTGTCATTACCGATTATAATACTGTTATCTATTTATTTTGACCCGGTTTTAATAATTACTGATTATTACAGTAATTTAATAACTATATAATTAGTGATTATAATTAATAATTATTGTTAATAAACAGATATTACTTTAATTTTACTTTAAATTAAAATTATAAATACTGTTAATAAATTTAGTAACCCAGTTTTAATAATTACTGATTATTACTGTAATTTAATAAATATATAATTAGTTATTATAATTAATAATTACTGTTATTATAAATATTGTTAATAAATAGATATTTACTTTAACTTTACTTTAAATTAAAATTATAAATACTGTTAATAAATTTAGTAACTATTGTTATATTAAAAATAATTAAAAATGTTATTAAAAGTATTGTTATTGATTATTTAATAAAATATTATAATTACTGACTATTACTGATAAATACTTAATTTAATTTAATATTGGTAATTATTAATTTAATTAATATTGTTAATAAATCCTATTCATAAATTTAATAATTACTGTTATGTTAAAAATAAATAAAGAATATTATTAAAACTATCATTACTAACTATTTAATAAAATAGTATAATTACTTACTATTATTGATAAATGTTGTTAATAATTAAATATTTAATAAATAATGTTAACAAAAATCAGCAAAAATAGTGTTATTGAATTTCTTTGGTTTAAATTTTTGGGTTTTGTGCTTTGAAGATTGTTATATAATGTTAGTTAAAAATGATATTTGCATTTAGCTTAATGAATTGCTTCAAGGTTCTAAATATCGACACGGGCCGATACGCTCTATGTTGGTGCTTTTTTTATGTTTTACTTATTTTTTGGAAATTGGTTCAAGGCCTGGTTACCCTTTGAACCAGTGGCTGACCCAAAATAACCCCTATAGGGGTGTATCGGGAAGCCATTGACACAATATGTATTGGCCATATGGGCCGATATGTGCGATACTTTGAACCTTGAATTGCTTTGGTTTACATTTATAGATTTTGTGCTTTGAAGATTGCTACATATTGTAAGTTAAAAATATTGCTATTTGATTTTTTTTTTGAAATTTGATAATTGTTATACCTATAATTGTCAAATAATTATAAAAATTATCAAATATAAATTAAAAGAAATTACCATTATTAGACATAAACTACCAATATTTATAAAAAATTTACTAAAAATAAATCAAAAGAAATTATCACAAATTAGAAGACTTTAGGATGATAATTATTTGAAATTTTCATATATTATAATCCTAAATACATTAAAATGATTTGCCAAAAATTATCATAAATTAGTAGAAATGTCCAAAATAGCCACTAAATTACATAAAATTGATAAATTACTATAATTTACCAATAAACTATCATATAATAAATATAATATATTAGTATATATTTACCAATAAATTAGTATATAATAGAAATTACCAGAAATTAGTAGAAATTATATAATAGGGCTAATTTCCACTAATTACCAGAAATTACCAAGAATTACATAAATTATTATATAATAGAAATTACCAGAAATTAGTAGAACTTAGGATGATAATTACTTCAAATTATTAAATAATATGAACCTAAATAAATTACAATAATTTGTCAAAAATATTATGCTGATTACTAATTAGGTTGGGAGTTGGGACCGGTACACTCTGGGTCAAGCCAGATCCGACCCATTGACATCTCTAACTCAAACTCAGGATGGGCCGGGCTAGGCCAGACCTATTTATCTTATGCTCCCCATCGGTCCATCCCTGCGCTATACCCTGCCCTAAAGTAAAGCAGAGCAAAGCTGTGATTTTAATAGTTGAGGACTTTGGTTGGTTGAGTCCTACTACACTACTACTACTACTCTGGATCAAGAAACAAGAAGTCAAGAATGCGGTAAAGACTTGATTACTTAACTTGAACGACAAGTTAAAAGGATGAGATCCAGACTTGGATTGCTTATATATATATATATATAGTTGCAGGGGTTGGGTTTCTGTCATCGGTTTCATGTGTTTTTGGAATGAGGAAGGAAGTGGGGCGAGTGTAGACTGAGCAAGAAGATGACGCATGTATGCAGCCGGTCTCATCAGTGTTTAAGGCCTTTGAAGCCTCTGTGGAGCAGCACTAGTGTCCATCACTCCATCCAATCCACAGATGCTTCAAAGGTCTTAACGTTGATGAAGATTCTGCTTCTACCTTCCATTCTGATGAGGGCAGATTTGGCCCTCCAATGATATTGTAATACATGGTACTTCAGAACAATTAGGTGACACCCGGAACCACTTAGGCAACAATTTGTCTTAGTCAAGTTGATGGTGTCCCACCTGACGACCTGACCCGGGTGTGAATTGGCGGCCTGGCAGCCTGGCCCTGGCGCGACTTGGTGGCCTGGCACAGGCGCCGACCTAGCGATCTACGAGACATGTTCGTCGATAAATTTAGTATGCATATCCTAACACTCCCACGATCCTTGGAAGTTGGCTCACGTGTCGAACGATCCGGAGGGTGGTCAACGTGCATGGCGGTTGCCTCAGGGAATCTTAGACCACTTAGACGACTTCTTGGAAATCTCAGATGCGGTGCGTGAAGCCCACGTCAAACTATGCCTATATAAATGCACCAACCCCAATGACATGGGGGGGGGGGCAAGTAAGCATATTCTAGCTCTCATACTTTGTGATTTTTAGCTTGCAGTCTACTATGATAGTACTGACTTAAGCATCGAAGCGACCTCGCCGGGTTAGCCACCCCGGGTTCTCTGACATTGATTCCTTGCAGGTCTCTAAAGAACTACGAAGCTCAACAATCAATCCAGCTCGCCACAAGGCAGCTCGGCCCTCTGGTCAGCTCGGCAACTAATAGGCAGCTAGTCCCTCTGGTCAGCTCATCACCTAACCTGCCTAGCTCGGCCCAGTCAGTTCGGCACCTAACCTACCCAGCTCGGCCCAGTCAGTTCGGCACCTAACCTGCCCAGCTCGGCCCAATTAACTCGGCACCTAATCTTCCCCCAGCTCAGCTTGGTCAGCTCGGCATCCAGGTCCTCATCCAGCAAAAGTTCATTTCAGCCTCTGAATCATCGGCCACTTGAAAGCAGACCTAATAACAATGTACTTAACACAAAAAATTGATACATCACTAAAAATTGATTCATCACATTCTTTTTTCTTACCGCTTACCATATTCTCTATTGATTCCATTCCGACCGGTAAGAACATCTTTCTATATTATTACTGTTAGATTTTCTTTTTCCGAGAAATACATCATATGTTTTTATGCATATTTGGACCGATTTGATCACCTCAGAGAACTGGATAAATTTTTCAAGAAGTAGGCTGGTTGGAGTGAATTAATGGCGGAATTTATATCCTGCTGGAACTAGTACTAGTAGCATCACAACTAGTTGCAATTATTTTTTTTCCTCATTGACATGCATTAACAATTCAAATCTCCAACTTTCTTTATATATAAAATTTGTCCTGCTTTTATCTATAACTAGTTACAATGGAAAGATTGATTTTATGATTGCCGAAACAACATAAGACCAGGACTAAGATGAATTGTTTATTCACCTTTTCGGTGTTGCATTGATTTTAATATTTGAGCACTTGTATGAGCTTCATACCAAACAATCTAATGACCACCAGAT